CCTAAATTGTGTTTATAGTTGTAACTATTGGCAATTTTTCCTTAAGAATTAAAACTTCATCACTCAGATTTCCGTTTTAACTATCCTATCTTATAGAGAATAGTCCGTCGAATAGTCCCTGCGATTCGTTCCTGTTTATCTCTTTTAGTTTACGAGATATTCGCATTTGAAAAAAATGGACAAAAATTGAAAAATGTCACATTTTAGCACTTTTAACCACGTTTTTACACCTTTTAACACAGAAATATTAATTATTTTAATATCTTATCTGATACAGAATTTTCCAGTCTTTCATAATCTACCACTCGCTGATTTCTATCTCTCTTAGTTTGGAAGATATTCACTATCAAAAATCGTTGAAAAAAATTATCAAGCACCCCCCCTTGGCAATTTTTTCTTAAGAATCAAAATTTCATCTCTCAGATTTCCGTTTTAACTATCCTATCTTATAGAGAATAGTCCGTAGAATAGTCCCTGCGATTCGTTCCTGTTTATCTCTTTTAGTTTACGATATATTCGCATTGACTCTTACTCTATAACTAATAATACTGAGATAAAATATCTCGAATAACAATACCAACACACTCGATTTGCATCTGCGCGAGCCACCATCAAATTGATTTAATTATGTACTTACCAGTCATCTTCCATACATCTACGGCAAGTACTGTAACAAAATAATACTATGTAAAACATTTTGCACGACACTACGATACTACATGTACAGTTAGATAAAAACTCATATACATTCAATGATATGTATTGCTTACAAGGTAACATGATCGCGCAGCACAGTCTCCTTGGAAGATCATGGGAAACACAACACATTTGTTATTATTACACGGCGTTGATTCGTCATTTAATATAACGCGATTTACCGAATTAATTAATTAAAGGCAACACGTTTAAGAAAAACACACGGTAACTGACCACAGCACATTCGCAACTGCGTAAATGTAAGCCACTGAAGTCTCGTGTAACGTGTAAGTTCCGACGTCTCATGGACGTAAACAAATAAATGTAACAGATAAGAACAGAACCTGCTGCACCAAATCGCGCGATCGAACATGAACACGTTTTCTTTCAAGGCTATGTAATCTCACCACTATCTACCAATATCTGCAGCGATAAGTCCGCTTAGAATTTAATGCAATATTTGCATTCTGACGCCATCTTGGTTTGATTTATAGAACTGTTGATGTTTTTATTGATATTGACAATTAAGCATTAGTTTAGCTTGATAAGTTTTTAGTTTAGAAGATATTTACTGTTGAAAATCGTGGAAATTTCATTAATTTTGAAATCACAACGATTCTAAAGAAGTTTTCACTTCTTAAATATAAATAAAATCAAATCATAATAAATTCTTGATATTTTTCCTTGATTTAAGTTTGAAAAAATGCTTTTATTTAATTTTAAGTTGATTGATTTTCACTCAGAGTCACGATACATATTATTTAATACAAATAATTTGTTACATATTGTATTTTGTTGACATTCTTTGTTGTGGTGCTTTTTGTAAGGTTTGTCCCGCATCAGCAAGATACTTATTCAAATGCGACGACGCATTTGTAATGCTACCGCTTTTCTCTTCACTCTCTCCACGCAAATATTCCGAGCATGTGGAGTTGACTGCATATATAGTTGTTTTGCGTGTGTGTGGGTGAAAGCAAAAGCGAACGGCTGCTGCATGCATTAGGAATATCTACGTCTTCATCTTGATCCGCGGTCGTGGTCTTTCCCTTTACCCACACAATGATGACAAAATTCAGCGGTGTGTGTGTGTGTAAACGCAAAGCGGATTCCGTGTGCAGGGTGGCAAATTCGCATTTTCGCATTTCTCACAATTCCACTCGCGCTTGCCGGCAGCGATGAGCGATGAATTCGTTTCGAGATATTCGAGACTTTTAGTACCTCATAGGTACGTATTGCAAGTTTGCACTCTCGCATAGTTTTCGCTTACAAATTCGCAAGTATTGAAACATTACTCATTTATTGAATATTTTACTAGTATCAGCTTACGAATTCGATTTTCCACCGCGTCGGCAAACTGTATTAAATTATGATCTTTGCGTCAAATATAACGAAATGTAATGCCTGGAGAGTTTCGAACGAAATCCATTATGAGTTTGACAATCCTACGCAAATTGATGTTGTTGCCATGGCGATTAAACGAGTGTTTACTTTCCAAAACGAGACTTGAGACGCGAGGTCAGCAAAATGGATTATGATCGAACTGTTTCCAACAGAGATAATTTTACTTCTTAAATTTCAATACAAAAAATTATCGTTTGAAAATAACGAAAATTCTATAAACGTATGAAAATATATGAAAATGAAAATCAATCTAAAACGAAACGAACATAACTTACCAGATATTCCTACCTATAAGAAGAATGGAAACAAAAGTTACGATGTCATGAGCGCACGCTGAAATGGAATATGAGAAAATGATAAAAGTTGAATTATGTTTGCTCTCGCAGGATACATGAAAACCCAGGACGAGCATCGCGCACGCGGCCGTCACGCCGAAGACGATTCAAACATTTATGGAGTTGGAAAGAAATTCACGAGGATTTCGGCAAGTTGATAAGTTTGAATGTGGAGAACAAGAAAGATGAAACGATTCCATCGAGTCTCACTGCATTAATACAACCTTCTTTCAATAACCTAATGCGTGTATCTACGAATATAAGTAGATATGGAATATGACACAAAAACATTTTAATGTCTTATATCAATTGCAAATGTTAAACTTGAGGAAATGTGAGGAGATTAAATATTTTATTAGTCACCCTGTGCCGAGTGCGAGAAACGGGATGACATTAAAGAGTTGCGGAGTTGAGGCGGCGGAATTGTGGTTTTGAAGAGCGCTCAAATATTTATGAAGTTGCAAAGATGATTTTGCCGCATGTCGCAAGATGGTAAAAGTTATAGTTTCAAGAAAGAGCATACAACTCGAGCGACTATTCATCGAGTTACCGCAGAACTTTGAAGAAGTTTATGTTGGACATTTATTTTTTAGTAGGTAACCATCATTTATTAAAACTATATCTTCTTTATTTAAAATCATAAAAAATGATTTTAATGTATAAAAACGATTTCAAGGTTAAAATTTGTTTGACACTTACCCTTTTAGGCTTTTGAAATAATTCATCCTTTTTCCTGGTCAATGCTAGAATGGTGCTTAGGGTTTTAGTGATTTAGAGGCTGTAAATAATGTTTTAACACTGATTTTAACCCGATTTACGCGGATACTGTCTGTAAAATGGTCGTTAAAGTTGTTACAGACAGTTTTATCGTGCAAAACACTAAGAATAAAACATTTTAACAGGAAATAAATAAGAATTAATTGTTTCAAGCAAAAAGAACAAATTTTACAAATTTTTTTAGAACAAATTTATCTTATTTAGCTTTTCTTCAATATTTTCTTGTATTTCTTCGTTTATGCGATGAAATTATCAAAATATTCAAATGAAACGCTTAAAATTTCGCGAAATTAAATTAATGTGGTAAAATATTAATATCTCTGTAGATTAAATTTCTTGTCGCTGCGTCTTATAAGTGGATACTTTGAGTTTGAACCTATATACTCAGTGTAATTTGTTTATGCAACATTCCCAGCGTGAAACAGCATGTTCATAAGCGCAAAGCAAAGCAGTTCATGAACGTTGCATACATTATTATCCTGCACCTTGTGCTTGTAAACTGCGCTAACCAAACATGTTAGAAATGTTTGATATGCATTTTTGCGGATTCCCAGCTCGCAATTTGTACGAAATTCACCCACTAAAATTTAATTACCGTCAAACTTTATCTTTATATTTAATTAAGTACTTCCATATTAAATTAAATTTATACAAATATTTTAAATAAATAAATATTCAGTTTTCCAAAAAATGAAATCAAAAAATTTAAAAAAATAACAAATTAAACTCAATCACTACAGTTCCTGGACGATTACAACATAACCTCACTATTAAAACTAGAACTTTTGTAATGAAATCGTTTAAAGTTTTAAAATTCCGTAATATTGTGTTTTTGGACCAGCAGAACTTGCTCTAAACCTCGTTTAATTTCGCTAAAAGTTGTCTCATCATTGTTCCACCCCTCCTGAAACCTCCCGCTACATGTGTTTCATTAATTAGATTGTCTCAGTTGTACAGCAAAATTTTCATCTTGTTGATCTTGCCAAACGTTCAACTTTAGTCGGCAAGCATGAATATGATTCCTGCTCAATTGGAGCGGAATGAATCTGCACGCCACGGGGTTATTTGTCAGAAAATGCAATTTTGTATTCGGTTGCAACTCGCAAAATCCCCAAAGCGATAAATATCAACTGCGCGAACACAAAATAACCCACAAACAACAAAATATACTACATGCAGTGCATAACTATGTAGAAAATGTGAAATATCTACGAAAAATTTTCCCGAAAAAAAAAGAGGAACAGAGACGTCGGAAGCGGAAATTGCGAACGAAAGGGTCAACATTTGGGCATTGTACGGTCGGGCGGATTTAACGCCGCTTTAGTTCGCTGTCACTGAATAGTTTACATTAACTTTCCACTTCCATTCCGGCCACTTCATCCCGTTCTAGCCTCGGCGTCTTGCGCGCGATTCCGCCACCCACGCGCGTTTTATTTTGACGAAATTCCACTCTGGCTTTATCTGTTTGCCCAGGATATTTCTACAAATGCAAACATATTATTCAAACAGACGTAAATGTAACCCATTTTTGTGGACATTGTTTTAAACGGTCGACTACATTAAACGCTGAGGAGCAGAAAAATGTAAAAAACGAAATCCACGGCGGAAATATTGCGCGAGAGAGTTGACACTTGCTGGTGGTGCAGTGAATGCATTTGATATCGAACGCATTTATGCATTATTTATAAGACTTCGTTAAAAATACATGCTTATCTCCGAAGCCAGCGGAAACATTTTTAACGAATGCATACATTTAAATCATTTTTCATTTGTGTTTTCTTTGTGTTGCAGGCAAAATGCTGTGGAACACTGCGTTGACGTTCGCCTGTTTAATGGAAATCACATTGACGGACAGCGCACGATTATTTAAAGGACGTGAAATTCGTTCGAGGCGATTTATTTTCCATCAAGTAAGTCAAAACTAAATAATAGCATATCCGACGAGAATCAAATTGATTGCCAGAGTTTTTTAAATTCAATCCAGTGTAATATTTTAGCCAGCGTATAAAACAATCACAATTTTTCATTGGAGAGCTGAAAAATATTTTAGTATCAATAATAAATATCGAAAATTAATAAATTTTAACATTTTGTATACTAATGCATAAAATAACCGTTGTTGCATTTGTGCATTGTTGAAACTTTATCTAGCGTCGTTTATCAACAATCGACGTACTAATTATCTCGAAGCGAGTTGGAAAATGAGCGCCGCTTGTTAAGTGCTAACGTTACAAGCACCTCGGCCAATATCTAAGTGCGCTGTGAAGTGTGCAGCGCCGAAAGACGGATTGAGTAACACCAGCACTTCAGCGCGTATCAAATAATAGCCATACCAGTGGGGGCGGTTGAGGGGCAAGAGAAATTCGTGCATTGGATAATAATTGAAAGCTGCAAACATGCTTGTTTTGCCAAAATAACATATTTGACGTTAGGTATGTTTCAAATCGCAATATAACTAAATTATGTTAGTTACACCTTTTATAACTCAAGAATGGCTGGGCAGATTTTGATCATCTATGACTTTTTGGATTTGTCTTAGTTACAAATAGTAGAATAACTATTATAATATTATAAATTATGACGTTAAAGGTCAAAAGTTAAGAAATGAAAAATTTTATCCAAAAAATACTAAAATATGAATGTATTATTAAAAAATATAGAAGTTGTTTAACTGGGTCACAATGAATCATTATTCGACAACTTTGCATAATGTAATTTTAAAGTTTAACATGAGTTTACCCTCAATGTTAGGTACACGAATACAACTAGTGTTTAATTAAATTCCGCTTTGTTTTCTTTGCTGATTAAAAAATACAAAGTGCTTTAATTTGTTGTGTGACAATGATAAAAACAGTGCTTATAATTATTAATTATTTAATAGTCGCTGCATACTGTGTGCAGATGGGATTAATGAAAGCAATAGATTATATTTTCTCCGCGAGAGCTGGTCTTAAGCGTTGCGCTGCTCTGTGATCCCAGCTGACGTACGGATCCAATTTAACAAAACCCTCTATAACTAATTAATTACTCCCTGTGTGGCAAATGAACGCTTTTAATTAAATATTACGTCACCTCAGGGCAGACCAGAGCCAGAGACGTGGAAGAAATATAGTTCCTCGGCACCAGAGCTAAGCATCTACTAAATTTTCGAATTGCTTCTTTGCTGTATCTCCGTAGGTAATTTTTTAGGTTTAAATTTAAACGAACTTTTGTCGAAATTAATTGTACGCATTTTGAGAAATGTGCAATTTGTTGAGCACGTGATTAGCTTCGTTATTTTTCAGCTTTTATACCTTAATTTAGTTTCTTGTTTTTTTTTTATTTTAGTCGCTTTAGAAGCTTCTGTCAAGATTAATTATCTATTCTCAAGAAGGCTTTAAACCTAAATAATGCTGACCGAGTAGAAAATTTTAAAACGCTGCCGCTGTATTATGGAAAATCTTCAAACGCGCATCATTAGAGTGCCGCCGCGTCGGAAAACCGGAACGGAAAATTGCAAATTGCAAAAAATATCCAAAGCCTAAACAGGGACGCTGCTACTTTGGCGCAAAACGAAACGAAAACAATTACCATATTTAAAGGATTTTCGCTTTTATTCAATGTACACTCACAACAATAAAAATATTTGAATAAATAAATATGTACGAGTATAAAATAAGTATTTTTATACTTAGTGTTAATTTCGGTTTTTATTTCAAGTAAGAAATGAATTAAAAACGCAACGAAATAAATGCTTGATCTAAATTTACTTCGTTTTTCATTCGTTGTGGTTGTTGTACCCAGGTTGTTACACGGTGTTTGGCGTTATGGCGGTGCCGTTATTGTCGTGCGTAATTTACATCGCCCCGACTGTCAGCGTTCTTACGACGATCATAAATATTGCCTCGCGCGCGCGTTATTTAAAGTTTCAACCCGGTGCGCGCGAATCTGAGGGGGCGGCGGGCTCAAAGGCACCGAAACGAATTTCGCGCAACGAGAAAACAAGGGTAATAAGGTAAACTGATGACTCGAGGGGAAATAAACGGCGCGATGGTAGCGACGCTTTTCGCGAATGATAATAAAATGCCGCATTAGGAATAACACCGGGGGAAACAAAGCAACAATTGAGATACGCACATAAAACGAAGCTGGATCTTATTCTGTTATTATTTAATAATTTAATTGAAAATATTTAATAATTATTTTAATTTTAAACAAAAAAATAATTTAAATATTAATATGTATCAGTAAAATGATGATTTTTGAAATAAATGTCTGAAAAGTGTATGAAATATTTGCTTTGACGTTTACTGAAGCGCACATTTGTAATTTATGGATGCGGAATTTTTATATCATAGATTTTCACCAAATTAAAATGTCTTGGCCTGAAAGCTTTTTGAAATCTTGTTTTAAAAACATATCATGGTGACCTGATTTTCAGTAATGTCTTTGCGCTGTCGCTTGAAACTCTAAAGTTCAGTAAGGTACTAGTCGAGTCTAGCATAGCTTGCATATTTTATAATTGCCATACTAGCTTTTATCTCTTTTTGCATTTTGCATCAGCATAAACATTTCTATCGTAAAATGTGTAAAAGCTTCGTAATCATTACAATTTTTATTATAAATACAAGAGAATATACTGAAGTATGCTACAGTTGTAGGTTATGTCATGCTTTGACAATTCAATTAAAATATTTTCATATCTAAAGGCAAATAATAGTTTTTCTTCTTAATATTTTTATGAAATCTTAAAGAAAAGGACAAAATAATATTTTAGTTGAATGTTTTTGTATTTTTCGTATTGTTTTTTGTTGTTGTTATTTTTACATAAAACTGTAGAATACATTAATATAAAGCTAGAGTAGGCCACATTTGTAGGTTATGTATGGTTTTGACAATTATGTTTAAATATTTTGCTTCTGGAAATCAAAAAGTAGTTTTTTCTTAAATATTTTGATAAAACTTTAAAGAATATGACAAAATAATATTTTATTTAATCATTTATTTCGTGTTTCTATACTTTATTTCATACATTTTTCCTAAAATGGTAGAATACGATAATATGAACCAAAAGTATGCCACATTTGTAGGTTATGTCACGTTTTGACAATTCTATCAACATTTTTCAAAATATTCTTCCTTGAAAGCTAAAAATAAGTTTTTGTTTTATATTAAATTGTTAAAAACTATGAAAAATATCACAAAATAATATTTTATTTTCTCTTCCTTAATAAAAACTTAATGATTATTTAATAATCATAACAAAAACGAACAATTTTCAATTTTCTTGATTAAATTCGATATCCAGGAGTATATTGTGGTGGTTTTGGCGAACTTGATATTATCTAAACGTGATGCGCTGAGAATTCCAAGAATACGTCGAAAATTGCACTGATTGCCTGAGATGTAATCAGTCTACGAGTTCTTTTCTCCTCTCTTTGTGCCCACAAAAGCTCGATTTTTCTGTCTTGACTTCTTGCTCCGCGAAACGCGCACACTCTTTTTATTTGCTCACATTTCCGCAGCTACCCATTTTGCTTTACAACTTTATAGCCGGCTGGCATCTCATTTCAGCGTTTTATCATATGATTCGTGCGAATTAAGTTGATATTAGGAAAAAATGTGCGCGGACTGAAAAGAACGCGAAAACTTCTCGCGTCGAACAAAATTCTTAATTCGAAGGAACCGCATCGTCCGTTCATTCATTAAAACTTTACCGCCGTTCATTCGATGCATCGCCTTTCGCTGGTTCTTTTTCAGGCTGTGCTTGCCTGCTTGAAAGCTTGGTAGTACTTGCTTTATGCTCGTTTTGTTTGCTGCTCGATACGAAAGCGAGTGAGAAAAGTTTTGCGCTGACTTTTACTAAGAGGAGTCTTCGGAGTTAATTGACGCTTTATGTTTTTGATTATGCGTTGATATTTTTTTTTGGTGGAGGGTGAAAATTATTCTTATTATGCAATAAAACTTTTTAATAGGTTTTATGTTTTTTTTTATAGGTACGCATAATTTAAGGTCAAAAGGTGGCTAAAAATAGGATTTTATATTTTTAATATTCTTATATTATGGATAAATTACTCGAAGCATGATTATAGCCAGAATAAACGTTAATTAAATTGTCACGCATTAAAAAACAAAGAAAAATTTTTGCATTATTGACGAAAATATAATTGAAAATATATTTTTTAAATGAGATTCCTTAAAAGAGATTCCTTTTATTTTTCAGGATAAATGTCTATTACCTTGCACATGTCCAACAAAAGACATCTGCGAAGAATGCGAAGTGTGTCCTCGACAGGCAAACGAGCCTTGCAGCGATGATCGTCCTTGCGACCTCACCAAAGGACTCACCTGCACCTATCTACACGACGGTGACACGGAAGGAATATGCCGGACTCGTACCACAGGTAAATTCCTTTCAAACATATAAAATCTTTCGTTTTTCCATTTAAACACTAAAAAGAATTAAATCAATAATGAATAGTTATACAGTTTCCATCGTTTCATTTACAACGAGAATAATTTGAATATTCCTGGAATTATTACAACTATTATTTATTTTGCTGAATAAATAACAAGCGCTAGCGGTCATCAATCGAAGCACCGCATAATCGCCCTGCCAACCAGCTCGCTGCGTTCGCAAATTTACAAATATAATGTATATTTGAATACACCACGCCAGGCAAACGTAATGCGATGATAAAGTATATGCTAATCGGGCTGCAAAATGGTCGCGTGATCAATCGTAGAACACAACACGAACGCCAAATAAAGCGAATTAAGTCACGCAACAAACTCATAGGACATATAATCCGGCACGTGCTACATTTCGTCCTTCAGAATAAAAATAAAATTATACGTTAATGTGCAAGCATGGAGTTTACTTATTTTTAGGATCTTATATAAAAATTTACAGTAATGTTCAAAATAATATTATGAGACTAATAATGTGAACATTTTAAAGAAAAATTTAACAAAGCAATTATTTCTACATTTTTGTATCCTGGCAATTTGGGGTTGATAACCCTGCTTGCTTGGACCCTCTACAATATATTTTCTATGTCATTTTAAACTCTTAAGCAATTTACTAAAATTTCTTGCATAAATAAGCATTTTATAGTATTTTCTTAAACTTCAGATAAAAACACCCTGTATCTTCTGATATATTAAGTAATTTGATGTTTTACGACATCACATTTTAGCTAAAGAGACCTTTATGATATGCTTGTCATTTGCAGTCTTTAAAGCCCATGCATTTGTCCCAAATATCCCGAAAAAACAAAATGATTTTTGTTGGAAGACAAACTCGCATTTTTTCAATTAACTTTGCTTGAAAAGCAGTTTTGAAAGGGAAATTATTGATAGAAAACTGGGTTGTACTTATTCAACAAATTTTCAGTTTTATTTTTGCTGTTTTCTACTGCAAAACCTAATATTTATTTATTTATAAAATGTAAATATAAACTAACAAGACCAAAATATTACTATTATTTAAAACTACAAATACCATTATTATTTTGTCATCACGAGAATACATTTTGTATAGAAAATAAAAATGACCTTTTATTATCTATATTTGTGACTCCAGTCACGCACACGACAATGACGAACGAATAGAACTAGCCCGAAAGGATTCGTTTCTTCTAATGCCCAATTCTGACATGGCTTTTCTAAAGGTCTAAAGGACTTAAGAATAAATAAGAGTCGAGCACGTGTGCCCACCCGGATCCTGATGAAAGTGCTTATTGTTGAATACGCGTCGCAGAAACGAAATAAATCATGATACAGATGACCAGGTGAATGTAACATTCTCCCAAAATATATAACGAAATATAACTAAAACACGCTTTAGTTATACTCGTATCTAAATACGTTTTGATATAAATTGTATCCAATACTAATGCGCAAAGCACGTCAGTCTGACATTCGGTTGAATTTCCGGTTTTCTGTTACAGACGAATATCCCTGCATTGTCGACCATCAAACATATCAACATGGCGAGACGTTCTCGCCGGATTGTCGGACTCAATGCGCCTGTCAGGTAAAGTGTCTGCGGACTCAATGGGATTTCAACACAATCGCAATTTTTTCTTCTTCTTTTGGCCCGGAATGTAAATATCAAACGCGTCGTTGAAATCCTGTCATGCCGCACGCAAACTGATGCTTTATCAGACACCTTTGCGTTCAACGTTTTGTATGCTTGCAGAACGGAACCTACGGTTGTTCGTCTTTGTGTCCGCAAGAGCACATATCGCCGACGTGCATGCATCCACGACTGGTCGATGTCCCAGGTCAATGCTGCCGTGAGTGGATGTGCGATTCACAAGCAGGTACTTTAAAAGCGCTTATTTACTTAAAATTTTGTGTTTATTTTATTTTAATTGCTAGTTGAGCAACCGCCATCCTGTCAGCCGTCATTTACAAAGTGGACTGAATGTTCAGCCGACTGTGGTACTGGTCTTTCAAAACGTCGCTCTAATCTGAACGGAAGATGCGAGAAAACAATTGAAACACGTTTATGTCAAACGAGGAATTGTGAAAGTATGCAAGCACTGGAAACTGATCGACGACATCATTTAAGGGTTTGTTTTTAGAGAAAAAAAATTAATAATTAAATAATTATGATGTTTATATTTTGTTAAATGCCGTTTTGTAGAAAGGTCACGAATGTAAAGCAACGCACCGTCTGAGCAACGGCGTACACTTCCGGTTCGGGCCATGCGTCAGCCGGAAACGCTTCCGACCCAAGTATTGCGGCAAGTGCTCTATTTCGGGGATCCTCTGCAGACCGCTGTTGAGTACGACCGTGCGCGTTGACTTCGTCTGCGACGTGCCGTCGGACGCGGAAGTCGGCGCATCAACGAGCGATCTGCTGCCGGAGTTCATGGAACTGGGTGAAGACATGTGGACGGACGACGCGCCCACACAGTACAATGGCGGCACCGAGATTTCCGCATCAGTGCAGTGGGTGCTCAAATGCAGTTGCGATAATTTCGACGGCGAATTGCCGAAAAATGGCAACGACCACAAAGCGGACAAAAAGCAGATGATTAACGAGGCGCACGAGAAGAAATCTCATCGCGTTGTATTGCATCGAGTGCATCGGACAGCCGGAGATATTCCTTGAATTATTACGCAAAAAAAGAAACAACACAAAAGAGTCATATCATGATTTGTTAAGCGAAGCGTTTTCAAACGAGAAAGAACATTGTTTCATCGTGCCTTTTCGGAATGAGCTTGACACTAAAAATCTGAGTGGAAAAACACACACAATCAATATCTGTTCAATATAATTTCATTTTCTTTGTTTTGGTTTGTAAATTTAATAAGTGGACCAATATTAATCAAGTTGATTACGAAAACAGGAAAAAAACTATTCGGATCTCACGAATATATTGGTTCGAATGTGATTAGCACGTAATGAGATCTTAATAATTCAGTCACTAATTTATTATGTCTAAACGTAAGCATTTTAGTATCAGGTTGCTCCTGTTTGTTTAGCTGTGCGAAGCTCGTTAGATTGCATGAAGGGAAGAGAAAATTAGAGAACATTGCAGGCAGGCGAGCGTGACGAGACACAAGAAACTTAATTTGTTTGGCATTGCATTGCGTCGCTGTTCTTGCGTTTCTCTTAATTTGTGCTTGTTTTGTCTTCGACTGTTCAGATTTCGAATTATTTAATTACAGCTTTCAAACTAACAAGGTAAAAGTTACTTTACGGAAATCAACATAACCTTAAAATCTAAAAATCTCAAAAAATCTAAAATTTTATTTAAAAATCACTTAAAACACTAAAACTTGCTACTTTATCGATAAATATTAAACACTAATTAAAAACAACGCGATAAATCCACACATAATTAAAATAATCATACAAAAACTATTTATTTACGGTATATAATCTAATAATTCCGAAATTTCTTAAAATTACATTCAAATAGATGAGTTATACTTAAATATTTACATGAAACTAAATCAGCGCTAAGCTAACTCTGTTTATCCAATAAATTTCATGTAAATACAAGATTATAACAAAGTTGCAGTTAGTATTAACGCATTAAACACAAGTGTATAATAAAATCATAGCAAATAATATCAGGAGCGTCAAATACACATAGAGAATTATTATTATAAATTATAAATAATAATAATTACTAAAATATAGCTGTAGACAATATAAAAACTAGTTTGGTAGAAAATGTAGGTTGTTATCAAATTTGATGCTCTTGGTACGTTTGTACGTGATATATTTTGTTATCATTCGTCTACATATCTTCGTGTACAGATGAATGTGTGATACAAACAAAAATTTGAATAATATAAGATTGTACATATACATAATTAAATATATCGTACTGCAACGTCATTATGCAACCTTAGCAAATAGATAAATACTTGTAAAAGACGATAAAATAAATTACATATATAAATTAATAAGTATTTACGATGGGATGTTTGCTTAGTCGTGCAAACATAAGATAACTGACTTATTGATACTTTGATACGTTTATTATCATCAATTTGGAGTTAATCCGGTGTAAAATCCTTTTACGCATCAGTCGGGTTTGACATATTTGATGTTTTTGTATCATAGTTCACACAGATGGGATTAACATCTTAACTTTAATCCGCTTTCTATCAAATTGCATTTTTTTAAACCATAATTGAAGGCGCCTGGGTGATTTTCTATTAAATCATATCAAACTTTATTTCATTCATGGCAATAACAAAAATTAATACTTTTTATGTTCTAGAATGTATTTTGTAATGAATTTATTCCATTGCGTTTCCCATTTTGTCATCGCAGCGGTTTTTTCTTGGTCATTCATTGAGCTAAACTTTAATGAATTGATTGCGAGTTGTTTCAAGAGTTTTAAATCAGCTGTGCGGCTTGATAGACCCATAAAAGCCATATACCAATCATAGGAAACTCCTTCGGCTCCCCAGTAGGTTGGATCGTCATTGGTGATGACCATGGGCATATCTGTTGACATGTAGATTGATCCCGGGTGGTTACGAAGATCTCTTACCAAACCCAAAACTTGATTTGAAATTGGACTTACTTCAATGGCGATTTGTTTGTCTTTAACCACTTTCATCATTTCAGGGTGTTTAATCAACGCGTATCCATGCCCAATTCTTTTGGTATCTAACAAAATGGCGTCGATGATGTTCTGATCAGTTAAACCTTGATTCCAGTTGGTTTCTCCTGCGTGAAAGTAAAAATCCATATCAAGAGACTGGATTAATTCAGTGTAATCCACAAGAGGTCTTCCGAGATCTTCTTGTCCTACCAAATCAAACCCAGTAACAAAATCAGGGAATTTAGTTTTGATACTACGAGCAATATCCAAGTATTCTTCGAATGTTTTGTTGTCAACTAAACGTAGCGGAGCATAAACCAATTTAACTCCTATAAATTCCGGATGAGTCGCTTTGAAACTCGCTGCAACATCAACGTAAATTTGCACAATCTCTTCTGGTGTGTAAACATAACCTTCTAAGTTGTATACAGGCGGCAGGGTGCCTCTCATCTCCAAATAAGTAACATTATCGTTATATAATTGTTCGAGAGTTGCATAAAACTGCTCCTCAAAGACAGGTTTATAAATCAACATGTCTGTTACAAAAATAAAAATGTTTTGGAACGTGCTCCACACTTTGTTGATATCAGAGAACTCCTCATTATAGTTTTCTCTGATCAAGGTCAAATGCCCAACTAGGTATTTCTCGAATTCCTCGCCACCTTCTCGACGCATATCATTAAGCAGTTCCCACTTGCAGGAATCATCAGGTTTTGAAAAAAATCGCAGACGAGGCATTGTATCATTACAAAAATAAAGATTATCTTTAAAAGTCTGTGCATACAGAAAATCCCAGTTAGTCGTAGCAGTATCATGTGTATGCAGCAAACCACCTTTCGGCATCTCCCTCAAAAACGCGAATATTTCATTTCGAGAAATCGCATCTCTTGATTCAAAAAAGTGTATAGCTGGTAGATACTTTCCTGGATCCTGGAATGAAGCATCTAATTCCGCCAGCTTCAACCCCATCAAAATCTCATTCGCCTTTAATTCATCATCATTGAGTTGAATCGCCGATCCAATCTGTTGGGCCTCCTCAGCGGCGATGATCTGCTCCCGTTTCGTCCAGTAGTCATTCTTCGCTATCCCACGAGTACAGCACGCGTCCGTGGTTGACCTTGAATACACGGAGTGCAGCGCGAGAAAAAAGCAAACGAATTGCATGCGATTTGTCATTTTGACTGATACTGAAACAACCTACAGCGTTTGAATAGTTTATATACTCGTAAGTTGTGAAGTAAAAGCACTTGAAACTACTAGTAATAAACTTATCTTAATCTTCTTGGAATGGCTGATGGGATTATGTTTGCGCACATGTATGGATTTATCAGTTGAAAGGGATTAACTTGTTTGCGAAAAGTTAGCAGTTAGCAGACAGATTGTTTATTGTTAAGTTATAATAAGTGCATTGAGTGTACAATTGAGAAAAAATTTGTATTTTTAAAATTATAAGTCTGGTAGTTTATGGATGGACTCCGATGTCTCCCAAGTCAATGCACGTACCATCTGGGAAGCAGACGATGTTTCTAGCTGCCCGGAGTTCCAATGGGTCGGTAATTTGATGCGATGACATGGCGTATTTGAAGAGGGCAACAGCAAAGTCGCTGGTGATATTATCGGGCTTAAAAGATTAAAATTTATTATTAATAACACCGGATGAGAGAATAAAGTAGTCTTACCCAATTATTGGCATTCGCGTGAAGGTCATACCCGAGCGAAAGATGGTACTTCAAAAAATTCACTTGTTCTACACATAAACCATATTAGAAGATTAATAAAAGTAATAAAAAGCAATAAATAATGATATTACCATCTGCTGGAACCCTCTTCAAAGTGTCTTCGATTTGATCAGCAGTGGAACTTATCCTCGGCCGACTCTGAGCGTCATGGATGCAGAGTACAACCAGGAAGACCAAAAACGTAGCGACCTTCATTCTGATCTATTCAACTATTGTTTAATAAATAGTTTTAGCGATTTAAGTAGGCAAGTCTCACCTAGTTGAGCAAACAATCAGACTCTCGGTGCGGATCACTCGCTTAAAAGGCTTTAAACCAGATTGATTTGTTTGCACAGCGGTGGGAGACGCGAACAAAAGTTCAATAAGTGATCGTAAATGAATTCGTCCTCTGTTCTTCGCTCCTCATGCGTGCGCTATACAAAGTTCAAAACTGGTATTAATGCGAGCGGTGATGCAAACGATACGGGTATTATCCTGATATAACGTAGGCTTTAAAACAATCAAAGTGCATACCGTTAACTGTAAACTCAATGTATAATAAGTTTAGTACGAATAACCATTTCACAATGAATGTGTATGTATCTAGGTTAAAAGATAGTTGATCAAGTGCTGTGATCTGTAGTGGTGGCATGCGAACGATGTGTGGATCTTGATCTCGATGATGCAGAAGATTGACTTCCAGAATGGTGTGAGCGGTGTGATCGGGGTGATCGGGGTGATTTGGATCTTGTGCGTTTGGCACGATGATGACGTTTGTATAATTTTCGTAGATTTGATTTTATCTTGGTGCTGTGCTTGTATTGCACTTTCCCAGAATTGTTTTCAAAGGATTTGATGCAATCGTAGCAGAGTTGAATCAAAAATGAACAAAAATAATGATCATTGCTATTATCACAGCAAGAATCTACAAAAAAATGTTTAAAATTTTTGATGTGATTTTTTTTTGATTTTTTTAAAACTTACTCCAACTATAACACAAATTAATTTTAACTTCCTAGAATTTGTATCATACCAATCTGTTGATTCAATATTACACATGTGATAAGCAAACAATCCGGACTGTGGTACCCGATCTTTTTCCAAAGGCGCTGAGGTCCAACCATCACGACAATCACACTTTCCAGTTAGATTATTGAATTTCCCAAAATGGCAGTTTATGTTGGCGTTGCTATAGTAGAAATCTTCATCTGCTTTTGAGGTCATACCAGCTTCTATTGTTTGCAGATCTGCTTTTGTAACGGTTTTCTCCATATCACGACATTTATTTGTACCAGGTGAATAAATCTAGTAAATATTTTTTGATTTTAATTTTAAAAATATATAAAAAATAAAAAAATATTAAATATTACTAAATCAGGCATTTCCTTGCATGGATCAGTTAAACAAAGAGGCACTTTTTGACATCTTTGTAAATGTCTGGAGAAATAATTGCGTGTTCCCAAGTATTTCATGTGGCAATCAACTGGATTGCAATGGTTTAAAGGATCTTGATCAACTGTTTCACATCCGGTTAGTTCACTCTTACTAAAATAACCTTCAACATATTTTTTGGGTGTTTAACATTAGTATTTTGTTTATTATTGCATTAATTACCTCTCATAACTAATGGAGTGCTTTTCTTTGAAATATAAGTATTAAAAGAGATATTAGCTTTCTTTTGTACTACTTCATCCTGTTCTGTTTTGAATTTTATAGAAATCAAACAATATCCTCGACGATTATGCAAATACTTGAAAATAAAATTCAAAAAATTAAAATTTTTCATAAATATTTATGTTTTTTATGTTTCTGTACCATATTTGGATATATTATAGTTAAATTCTTAAAGCAATGTGCTTTCAAGACTCCCATGTGTCCACCAATGAGATACATAAAAGCAGAGTCTTTATCCATTTCAGTAATCACTTCTGTACACTCAATCATGTTTACTTTTACTTCATAGGAACAAGCATTACTGTTTTCCATTAAAATATCTACAAATACTTAGCATTAAAGTCATATTTCTAGAATAAATATGTAATTAATCTTACAAAATACCATTCCAATTTCATCACGACTTAAAGCCGCAACGTTAGCATCCTAAAATAACTCTTTCGATAAAAAACTGAATATATTTTGAAAATTATAAATTATGGAATGTGTTTTTACCCGTATTTCGATTTTGCATTGCGTTAAAATGATCACATACAATAAAAAGTAAAATAATTTAATAAACATGTATTTAGGTTGGACATTACTACGCTTGACACGTAGGATCTCTTGACATGCACGAATCTGTTGACATTGACAAATTGTGTGCCACTTTGAGGTAAAGTGGACATTTCCTTCTCATCGAGGATTTATTTGTGTAAAAAATTGTAATTAATTGAATTTTAATTTGAATAATTTGTTTGTTTATGTGTAGATATTTTCATAAAATGAGAAAAATCATCGGTGGAAAATTCAGTCATATAGACGTTTTATTTGGGTGAAAATGGAACATTTTTCTAACATTTTCTTTTTATCTGTGCTTATATTTCTTGTAAAAGTGAGTTAAATATCATTTTACACTATTTTTAAACCTTTGACTTGCTTATAAGTATAAATGGTTGCCATGCCAATTTGTTTTAATCACAATTTATAAATTTAATCATTTTAGTGTAAAGTTCACGTGAATTCTACAGATAAATACGAAACATCTATCAAAGAATGTTCAGAAGACCTAAATTTAGACCCTGGATTTGTAATAAGTTATCCTACAATCTTGTCAAAAACTGATATTGACCCTAAACAGCTCAGTTGCATAAGGAAATGTGTCTGGGAGAAAATGGGTTACATTGACTCAAAATCAAACTTCATAGAAGCTGCTTTCTGTGAAGATCATCCAGAAATGCCAGAGAATCACGTGCATATTATCAAAAAATGCATTCGTCCAGCGGGTACAACAATATCCACGGAATGTTCAGCGTTTTATAATTTTGACAAATGTATTAACGATGAAATTAAAAAACTACGCGGTGTACACTAAAATTTGATAAATGAACAAACATAAAATTTCCCAAATAAATCATTTACTAATTTTAGGTTAAGTACGTACTTCCTTTTTATGTTAAACTTAATTCTGTGTGAATCACTGAATAGTAGAAATAATTGACCTTGATATTTATTTGTAAACATGTTATTGCACATAAAATAAACTATCCAGCACAAAATTTTAGTTTTCATCCATACATCCAGCAATACACACTTTTAAAAAGAAATTAAAAAAAAAAAACATGAAATTTACGTTGAAATTTTGTATTTTAACCGCGTTAGTAATATTTATTCAAGTAAACAAATAAAATTTTAAGTATAAACATAAAAAATCTAATATAAATATTTGCAGGGTCAAGAGGAAGAGGCTCCAGATGACAAACACAAGAGAATTGTCAACGAATGTGCACAAGAATTACACACAGACGCCGCTTACTTCATACCGGACCCAAAAATGGTCCCAACGCATCCATTCGATCCCAAAAAGTTCAGCTGTATGAAGAAATGTGTATGGCAAAAGAAAGGCCATATAGACGAAAACATAAACTTCGGGGAAGCTGCATTCCGAGCTGACACACCCGAAATGCCCAATGCTCACATTAATATCATCAAAAATTGCTTAAGTCTCACTGCAAAAAACATCTCAATTGATTGTTCAGCATTCAGAGAATTCGACACATGCGTAAATGCAGAATTTAAAAAAATGTACGAAGAAAATCAACACTCAAGTTAAACCATCATAATCTATCAAGACATAACCTATAAATGAATATTAACTTAGTTTATTACAACTGGTATAACTAATATAATCATATTCAGTGGTGAATTTCTTTAAGTCCCTTGGTCTCGTGTTCCTTTTCAACGTATTCAGGACTATCCAGAATTTCATACAGGTCCCTAGTCAATTCCGGCGATGGTTGCAAAGCGATGGCGGCTTTTACTTCGTCTGCGGCTTGCCTCTTCAGACCCAATTTGAATAGGGCCATTCCTCGTCGATGAATGCATTCGGTACGCTGCGACAAGTTGGCGTAAACTTCGGGCTTCATTAAATCAATGGCGGTCGAGCAGTCCTGGACGCATTTATGATGATTACCTATTGAAATATTAGATAAACAACTCTAATACTAACTAATCATAATCAATACTAAGAAATTATGAATATTACCAATCAAGTAATGTGCTTGTGATCGCAAAATATAAAAATCCACAAGGTTTGGTGATAATTCTATTCCGAAACTAAACGCGCTGATAGCACCCAAATAATTTTTATGTTCCATAAATTTCTTTCCTTTGAACAGAATATAATCAGGATTTTTTTCTTCTGGGCGTAGGTCTTCACTGACAAAACCAGCGGTTCTACGAGCTTGAACTTGTTTACTTAACCATTCAATTTCTTCTTCTTCTTTACTTTCTCTGCTAGGTGTTGGGAGAACTCTTGGAGTGAATTCTACTTCAACAACACCTTGATTACCATTATAGCTTCTAGGCATTGGTACAGCTGGAATATCCTTTTCAGTAACTTTATCTTCGTCACTTTGTTGATAAGTTTTTTTATAATGCGCTAACATAACCTTAGATTTTTTAAATTTCGTTGACTTTGTATCTATTTTCAACTCTTCAATATCTCCCAAAGCTTTTATTTTTTCTTTTTCTCTTAATTCATCAATTTTTCTTCTCTGTTGACCATCAATTTCCACAGACATAGAAACAGCGTCTCTTTTCGCTTGATAGAAATTATTCCTTTTATCTTCTGCTTGTTTTGTTAATTTTTCTTGCGTATCAACAATTGCTTTCGCTTTTATAGCCTTTTTCTCATCTTTTGATAGAATTTTCTCCAATTGCGGCCACTTTTCTGGGTTTTGTTTCTTTAACTCGTAAATTATTTTAGTACTAAGTATAGTAGCACTCGATTCATCTGAATTTATGCTTTCATATGGGAAGCATTCAAAGAAGAATGACTCAAATGATGCTTTGAAGTATTCATCGGATGTAAACAAGTCAACTGCAGAACTTGGCGCACTATGTAAAGGAACATGGACGCAGATATAATGGTCTGTTTGCGTCCACGTAAAGTCCTTCACAATGATGGGCATTTTGCTCCGGACACAATATTAATCAACTGAAGCCGGTTTAATTGACTGACAAGTAAACCAGATTTAGGTGCGTATTGACCAAACATTGTTTCCATAACAACACAAATTGATGTATTTTGAGGTTAAAAATAAAAAAAGTAGATTTATATTTCAATATTTTATTCTGTATAAATGATATTGCACCACCATACCTAAAAATTCATATGAATCATGTGAATTCTTTTGTTTGTAGTTAATTTAGATAATAATGAATAGACTTGTTTACACAATCATTATCCGTCCTTAAAGAATAATAATATGTCTTTCGTAAGCCAATCGTGTGTGAATGCGAGAATCGAAGCACGTAAAAGGCAAGAATGAGTACAAGAATCGAGCGGGAAAGCTACATCGTCGTTTTTTAAGGTTACGTTTTCATATAGGTACATTTTTCGTCCACAGCATTGCGTTTTTATCTTCATTTTAAATTTTGTTAATGATCTTTTTGGTTAAGATACTTGAACGCTATTCTTTCATCGTCGTCAATTGTCAATAATTGGGCTAAAATTATTCAGCTAGGACCAGCGCCCCAAAGATGGACGCTCTACTCATTTACAGTTTTAAAGTTAACTAGAGACTCGGGAAAGATGAAAGAGTTTTTCTTTATACAAGGTTTTCTCATCGTCGCGATAATTGTTGGATGATTACATAGTAAAACACGTCTCGAAAATAAATATTTCAAAAAATGAAACAACGAGAACTCAATTCATCACAAGGACTACACTTAGGAGTAACTTTATACGGTATGTCAAATGTCTTTGAATCAACAAATCGACTGTACGAAAATCGAATTTTACAATACGCTTATTGATACAATTTTCTCATAATTTTTTTCTTCATCGTCGTCTGCTTAATAAAATGTCGAGTAGAAAATTCTTATTATTTTTTTGTCAAATATTTTTGTTACAATTTTTATAGTCGGGATCGGTTTTTAGTTGTCGCATCTCAATAACTCTCATCAGCAGCTTGTTACTCTTATTATTTTTATACAACTTATCTATATGTATTTATAAGTATTTACGTTATTCTCTTGACACTCAACAATCATCTATTATTAAGCGGAACTCAAATTTATGTACTTCAATTGGATCGAATCATAATATTGTTGAGTCGCAAGTCGCGTGTTTTAACAAGCAATCAATTTATACAGGGTGAGACACGAAACATTAAATTTTAAATAAAATTTTGGTGAAAAATGCAATAAAACTGTTAAAAATAGTTTTAAAATATAAATCAAGTAAAAATAAGTGAGTTATTGTTTATAATAATATATTAAACAATAATTTTTGAATAAATTTAAATGTTGAAATGATTTTTATGATTTAAAAGTTTTGTTTGATGTATAATGCACTTAAATGATTTATTTATAAATTTGATGTTTTCTGTCTCACCCTGTATCTCCTACTTAGTTTACTTACGATTCGTAATATGTTACATATAAAAAACTAAAATCTTATGGGGTAACCGGGGGTGGCGACGTGGTTTCTGTGATATTCTGATAAATTCTTTAATACAATGCTGTTTTGCTCGCGCTGCTTTGTTTTATCTAACTATCTAAGTGCATCGCTGGCCTAATGGAATTTCAGGCTCGTCCAGACGATCGTGCTGGGATGCGCAACAGCGCCGATCTCGCAGTTGACCGTCCTCGATCGGCCATTGAGGACAAACAACGCTTCGTTCGCAGGTGTCACCATGTACTGTCCAAACAGACCTGAAACAATATTTACCAATGTATAACGTTGTAAAGTGTTCAATTAGCTATTTCATTAAGGTTTGCAACTTGCGATAATCGCAGATCAGATTATATTGGAAGATTCAGGGGTGGAGGAGGAAAGTTGCGAGTTTATTTACCTGATCCGCTGATGGGCCTATTGGGATTACCCCATTTGGCTAATTTAATATTCATGGCCCGCCCGACGCCGGTGATAATCTCCACTTTGCCGGTGAGCAGGTTCAGGAAGAGAATGTCCTCCTTGTCCTGCGCGCTCGCGTACAAATCGTAGCTGTGCGTCGTCTCGCTCGGATAGAACGTGAGGTCGGAGATGTTGAGCGTTGTCTTAACGTCGAACGAAAACACGAGTCCGTTTGCTGCAATGCGATTAAAGAAGGAGAGTCAGCGCGAAATCGTCCCAGGCAGTTAGTGCATTATTGCAAAACTTGGCAAATGAACCTTGCGATAAGAGCATCGAGCAGTGAGCTTCCCAACGAAACCCTCTGCCTCTGCCTCTGCGTAAACTCACAAGTAATTTCCTGCACAATTAACGTCGCCCCATTTTCGGTGCGGTCCAACGTGACGAGCTTCCTCGAGTCAGGCGAGATGAACGGAATGCCCGGCAGGGTCGGCTTCGTCGAGATGACGGTGTCCGTTAAATAATCGAGGAGTAGTTGTCCGGACTGCCGGCCCGTCACCGGCTCCAAGCACTGCATTATGACGAAGCCATCTGCAAGCATACAACGAGAGAGGGAATTGTAATGCGGCGACGTGCGGTGAATTACGGGCGGGCGCGTGTCGAGTTAATGTTGTAATTAGCGAGATTGCCGCGAGGTGCAAACGCAGCGTTCCATAAATATTAATCGCACGCTTGTTTGCGTACGAGATTAGAGAATTACACGACTGCAAGCGGTTTGACGGGGTATACTCACACAGCGCGGAAAATTGCACTTGCGCTGGCACGCAGTTGTATGGCGTCAGGTCGACGGAACGCGTGTAGCGCAGATTCTCCAGATCCAATTTGTACAGGCCACGTTGGTTCGTGTGCGTGACATAACCGTACTTGAAACTGTAGTGCGACAGCTCCTGATTGGGCGACGGGATGAACAAGCCTTTAACCAGATCGAACTGACCGTCGATGGGTTCCGGATGGACGGTGTGGTGTTTCCGTTTTTGTCCCGCATCTCTAATCACCTAGAGAACAAAAAAAAATTTTTTTTAACAAATTGACATAAAATTCTAACAAAACATTTTGTCCCCAGAGGTGACAATGGAAAAAAAGTAATAGGGTTCTATTCAGGCGGGTTCAAGATAATATTCTCACTTGTATTGTCTTGATTCCGGTATTGTTCGTCGACCTCCAATTCAATACCCAGACCTGATCCAGATGCGGGACGTAATAAAGATCCACAGGATATTTATCAGTGGCTACGACCTACAAATATAAATATAACCTCAAAATTCTTCATTTTTTATTTAAATGGAATAGTTTTGTTTAATACTCACATCAACAACTACCATTTGAATTTTGGAAATGATAAGAATGCGGTCTTTATCCGGTTGGGTGGCATAGATGTATCTGTTGGCAACATTCACGGCGCGCCCCCACGTGCACCGTACCCCCTTGTCCCCACACACGTACTCCTAGAGATAGAGAACAAATTACAAAACACGTTACGACTGCGATCTGATAACAGCGAAATTTATGTCTCGATTATGCTCTAATAGTGCTCGTAGCTTACCTGCGTGCCGGGTATAATATCCGTGCTCTGTATCTGATGGTAAAGCCTGCACGTGGTCGGTTCGTACACGGAGACGCCCCACTCGTGGAACGCGAAGAAACGCCGCTCCTCGTTTGGCGATGCTGTGATACGCAAAGGGGAGAGGAAGAAATTAGCATATTATTTACTAATACCGGTTACGACTTGATTACGCCTAACGAAGAACGCCAACAAAAACAGGCTAATCAAATAAGCAAATTGAATTTCCGGGCCGAAAACACGGAAAATTTCACAAAAGTTTACTTACTTGGTGTAGGCTGCTCTTGGACGACCAATGAACTGATGTCTCTTGTTAATCCGCCTGAAACATGTCCAACATGATAAACATGATTTACAAAATGGCTGCTGGTGTATAGTGTATACCTGTATTGGTAGCTTGACACATGTAAGCGCCCGTATCGGCAAACGCAATCTTTTTAATCTTCAACGCGGTGCCATTGCCAACTATTTGATATTTCCTCGGGCTTTCCAAATGCAACGGTTCGTCGTTTTTCAGCCACTCCACCTATAGAAAATAAAAACCATTCAGGCTTTAAAGCTGAAAGCATCGAATACATATTTCGCCGTGTGGCGCTGGTAATGCAAGAAGCGCGCGTGTTATTATACGTCAGTCAAGCGTAGGTGGCAAGAGAAAACGAAATTTACCTTGGGAAATGGCTCTCCGGCGACATGACAGTACATTGTCGCGTCCTCGCCGGGTCGCTTCGATTGTATGCGCGGTGTGACGTGCACTTCCGGCACAGCTGACGTCGCACAAGGGGAGAAAAGGTTTTAAAACTCGACGGTAAATTTTATGTGACAACGTGATAAACGAAGCAGAGTAAGAGAAAAAAAAAACGTAAAGTGTAGTGTAGAGAAAACTCACTGTGCACGGTCAATATGTGCGTTTGGACGACGTCCTTGTTGCGCTGCGCGTGACAGGTGTAGTTGCCGGCATGCTGCAGCTGGATGCGGGTGAGATACAATGAGCCGTCAGCGAAGACGCGCACCTCTTCTTCGTTCAGCGTCGCCAAGTCCAGTTGATTGCGTCGCCAAACGATCGGCGGTACTGGCGACCCGGTAACATCACACTTGATCTCGACGTTGTCTCCGACTCGCACGGTCAAGTGATTTGTCTCCAGGGCTTTGTCCAATGACACCACGGAGACACCTATATTTGTTTCAAATTTAAAAAGTTTTCTTTACAATTCATGAGAGAAACATACTGTATAGTTTACTGAATGCAACGTAGAATTCATTGATGCTTAGTTTTCCGTCGTGATCAGTGTCTTCGTAATGTATCATGTTGGGTAAAGTGCATCCATTACTCAATGAGTCCAGATGTTCCTGATTACCAATCTAAAAAAAAAAACAACTTTTTCGTTTTTTCACGGTTTTGACACAATAAGTGGAATTTTAAACACGAATGGCCGAAGACGTGACTAAAATACTTTAGTCACGGGCTTTAGTCACGAGATGGAGCATTAAACGTTTTTAAAAACGGAAAAAATAAAAAAAAAATAATTTTACCTCGCTAAGTTCTGATGCCTCTAAATTTCCATTATTATTAGTGTCATAATGTGAAAACATAATAGACACTAAATAGTCCTTGCTGTGGTTATCCTGTGACATCAACCGCGCGTGATTGTACAATAACAAATTATCCTGAAATTGAAAATAAGCAAATTTAAATCGATTGCTTGCGCTGGAAAAAAAAGTTAATAACTGCTCACTTTCATAATTTCGTACTCCTGCATGGAGCACTCCTGCTTGTCGTAGTAAATCTCATCGTCCTTCTCCATCGTCTCCGTGTCGATTTCATTTTCGGCATCGGGGACGCCTGGGAGTCGTGCATTATAGCCTGATGGCTTCCTGGAGGTCGCCGCGGGACTACTAGTCGTCTGCGAGTGGATAGAGAACCGAATTAATCGAATTACATCGTGTGCGAGAAATGAAAACGCTAGAATATTGGCACAAGACGTATAGGACGAGTACGCCGCTTTGGAGGGAAACGCTGAGCACATTTAATTCGGCTCGTTTTCATATTGAGAATTTATCGTCGATTGGTGCGCGCGCTTTCGTACGTTTTTCTTGCGTCTGCCATTTCATGCATTGCTCAATTTTTTCGTGAAGCTTCCTCCGGGGACATTCTACTACGTTAGCCGATTGTCGACGCTTCAATTCCCATAGCTATTTATATAGTGCCATTCTATTTCGACCCACACACACACACATATTCTAGGTAGCTATCACCCTAGTAGATATATTATTTCTGCACAACACCCGCACTCACCGCAATTTCCTCATTTTCGGCGATGGTCGCCGTAGTGGATTCTCTGTTGGCGTCCGTTATGAATGTGTAGACGTCCTGACTCTCAGTCGGTGCTTCGTTCGATATTTCTTGATTCAATGTCGGCGCCCAGCCTTTACCTTTTCGGAAATAAATCATGAATACATAGAAAATTTATTTGTGTGGGATTTTGTTGTATGTTTACCATGTTTAACGCAATGGACACCGCGTTGTACGGAAATGGCGGTTCTTGTGAGGCATGCAGCGCGATGCAGCTCGCAGTGGCTGGGATAGATGTGACCATCGGAACCGCACACTAATCGCTTGTGGAATGCGATGGGGCATTGTCTCTGACAGATGCATTCTGCCTCGCCCGTTATGCCCAGGACGCATTCATGACCCTTGTAGCAGTAATGGACTAGACATGGATCTGAATAAGTCAAAGATATTGTTATTCAGACGATTCCAGACCACTTTAGCATTTAGTAAATCACAAATGAAAATATGGTTGCATATTATGTTGTATTGCATGGGTTTGAAGCATATAGTAGCGACATCTATCGTCAGAAATAAGTAATACTTTAATTTTTTGTGAATTTCTCTTCTTTTTTCTTTGATATCTCGTAAACTATTTATCTGATTGAGTTCAAAATTTCAATATTCATCCATTGGAACAGTACATTTCTGATGAATAAATAGTTGGGGGTGAAAAAATAAATTATTGCTGTAATTTTCACAAAAATATTAAATTTTTTAGTTTTTTCTTCGGAAACCATGAATTTTTTGCAGTTAATGTTAAACTAACACTAAAATTTTATGGCGTGCGGCATAATTATAATAATCAACGCAATATCACACCTTTTTAATTGTACTTACTTGTTTCTAATAATGTGATATGTGTGGTTTCAACTCGCGGCGTCGACGTGTACGAATCTCTGTGATGCCTTGATCTCTGCAAGCAATGAAACATGCATGGTTTTATTTACGCTCCAATCCTAGGTGGGTGCAAGTGTACACAGTAACACAGGTTTATGCGAATGCCCGCAGCAGCAAATGCGAAACGTCGAGGGTTTGTTGATTACGCGCACGGAAGTGAGCGAGATAAAATGCGCGCACCGCACTCAAAATAAAAAACAACGTAAAAAGCATAAAAACACAACCAAGAAGAACCGCAACTGCTCGCTCTGGTTTAATTATATCCGGCTGGTGAGGCGTTACAAAGCGCTTTTTTCCGTGCGGCGAAACATCGATAAATATGTCAGGTGTTTGGTTGCACAAAGCGCACACGATGTGTGTGCAAGCCAGCATCGGAAATACAACAAAAAACGCAAAAAAAACCTAAAAAATGTTGTGTCTGTGCTCATAGACGAAAAGATATATCATACAATATACAATTCACAATGGAAATTATTTTCCGCTTCTCTATACATTATAAACGGGTTACACACTGTGTGTTTTATTTTTTCTCGTTTCCTTTTTCTTTTTGACTCTTTGTATTTGAGAACAATCCAAAATAAATGGAAATCGTGAAACGTCCGGAAATATTTTTATATTTTATGTTTATACGCTGTGCGGGTTTCGAATTTCGTCTACGTGCGGCTTTTGGCTTTCCAATTTGATGGATTTCCCATTTTATTGGCGAAAATTCAGCGCACTATTCCGGTGATATACTATGCAATACTGTCAAGTGGAAAAACATTATTCCAGCCACTGAATGTAATAGTTACACACATAAGCCACACGCGTGTCTGAAACTCCTCGAAACTGTCACGCGTCCCTACTTTTCGGCGTAACGGTAAGGGCAAATGGTTAAAATAATATTTAAAATTTTCCGCTTGGAAAAGCGACGCCGTAAAGCTCTCGTGCGCGTAAGAAAATTCAAATTCTCCGAGTCTTATAAATCGTGCCGTAAAATATGGAAGATACACACGATAATCGCACGGATGGCTAGAGTCTAAAACACCCACTGAATTTATGAGCGTTCACCCTCTTTACCACCAGGAGTCAAAAACGCGACGATGGGAAAAAAGACGCTTACTCTCCGAGATGGCGAAGGTTACGACGCAAGGAAATGTGCGAACGGTAGAAAAACAACGTGCGCGCGCTCTCGATCCGAACGAAGCAAGTGGAAAACTGTAAAACCTTTTGCCCGCAGCGCGCTAGCGTTTTGGGGCTGGCGTCTTTTTGCGTTATTTACATCGAAACAAACTAGCCGGCGTATAGCTAACAGGAAGCGGCGTGCTCAGCATGCCACAAAACGGCGGCAATGAACTCAACTCACCAAACTTGCGGTCATTTTATGTCGGACCGAATTTTCCGACTAGTCGACGCCCGTATACAGATTTTTACAGGCGTCAAGTTTTAGATCTTTTAAAAATTTACCTTATGAAATCATAAAAATGTGTTTTTACGTGTTAGTAATAAAAACAAGAGAAAAAAAAACGTTAATAAAATTATTTTTGAACTATTTGTTGATTAATTTGTTTTTAAATTTTATCCTCTCAATGATTCACTTTTACATTAAAAATTATCCTATGTGCTTTTCCAACGCCTAATAAATCTCTATACAAAAATTCATCAAAATTCTTCAAGTGGTTTTAACGTGAAACGCAAACAAACATACAAATTTACAATATTAGCAGTGATAATCCTGAAATAAAGCGAATTTAAAGTCGATTACAAAATATTGGTTTTGTTCGTGACAAGTGAAGTATGAGTACTAATAGTTACGTTTATTTTAGCAGTGTAGTGTCACGGCCCAACCGGAAAACTCAAGGAATTGGTGGCGATGAACATAGCGCCGTTTCAAGCACCGACTGGGTTGGCAAATGTCCTCGTTCGATATGTGAACAATGTGGATGCGGGCCGAACCGAAACGCAGAACGAGGACAAGTTGATATGTCGAGAGCTTGCACTCACAACCACAAGGTGTTCGAGAATTCGCCAACGTTTACAACATGCGCACTCACCTCACAAATCAACAATCCATCATTTTTACTGACTGGTCAATTTCGTAGTACACGTCAAAAAAAACTCAAGTTTTAATCAATTTTTTCCATGCTGTTGTATATTTGTGGTGTGTCACGGTATTTATTTATCATCTTGTAGTAGATGTTTAGTAAATGTGGAGGCGCCGGGCGTTCAATTGTTTACCACGTGTAAACAATCAACGGTTCGTTTGTGTTCTTTGTGTATTGGTTTTCATTTCACACATGTTGAAATGAAAATAAATTTGAGCGCAATTATTTTTATTTAATAAATTCACCCACTTAAGCCTTCACATTCGGACAGATTTCAGATTGAAAAACCAGAGACGCGCACCGCAAATTGATAACCTTTTCCCTTCAGTGAGACGAAGTGGATAAAAAATACACGCAGCCAACCCTTTCGCTGTACATTTTAATTCCGGCAGGGCGGACAAATGAATTCAGCGCTCGGAAAAACTGTCCGCGCAATTCGTTTAATTGACCGTGCAAACAGACCGAATTTAATTTCCGGATTAAATTTATAAGCGTATTGCCGCGTGGAGAACGTATGCGGTGTTGCCTTTGTTTGTGAAGGTTACAAACGCACGGTTAGGTTAGATTCGTTTTTGTGGCGTACTACTGGCAACACTGTGCGGAGTCATCTGTAGATGTCTCGTTCGGGTTGGCTGGGTCTGTGCTTCGTGCGCCGAATATCCATCAATATTATTAATGTGTCAGCGATGATTAATTCGACGCTATACCACTCTGCATGCAGCCCAGCACAATTATATTCACATTTTCAAATGTTCACACGGACACAACTCGATTATAAATTATAAATAAAACACAAAAAAGGATAACATACAATAAAATCAAAATTAATTTTTTTAACAAACCATAAATACCTACTTATATATTTAAATTATTTAAATTTAATATTTTGTAACATACTGTATATTACAGCTCAGTTTAAGCTGTTAATTGAAATACTTGTACAAGAGCGAATATGAAACCATGGGGCCTGGAATCTGCCGAGGTATAAATGGCACTGCAATGAATTACTCACCTAATAAGTGAAACCTTATTCGAGGGTGTTTCATTGTCAATAAATCGTTCATTTGCGGGGAGATTTATTATTTATATTATACAGGAACTAGGAAACTAATTAATTTTTGGATATGCGTTCGTAAATTGCAATTCTAAAGTAAATATCATAAATATTTCATCGGGTAATGCAGTTTCAAACTCAAAATTAATCAACATTGACACAAATGTTATAGGGGTGGATAAACACAAAAACAAAAACAAAATAAATTCAAAAATTTAAAACTTTATCTTCTATAATAATATTGCAACTATAAATGTTGATATTTATTCAAAAAATAATTTTTTATAATGTAAAACATAAAAAATCAAGTTTTGAGGTTATGTTGCTGTCGCTATTGGTCACTATATGCAGTCGCAGAGTAACACAGATGTAAAAAACATTTTTAACCTAAAATACGTTGTATTCAGTTAATAATAATTAATTTAAGACGACATTAATAACTTTTTTAACCATTTTTACGAAATATGAGGTATAAATGCTGTTTTCCTTTAAAATTTCTATGAAAGTTATTTAAAATCGGTCGTAAAATATAATTTCATAACCAAACTTAATGTTAAATCCACTAACATGAAATACGACACTTGCGCACAAATTGTTTTTAAATTGATAATTTACAACTATCGTATAATATTTTCCCGATAAAACACACAAAATACAACTCGACGCTTGAAACTCGAGTCACAACGTCTATTATTACAATCATTTGACACACAGGTGTCAAATGCACAAACAGAATTTCGAATGCCGACCATAAAAATTTTATTGGAACAGCTTTGTCGGCAATTGATTTGTTGTTTTGTGTGGGTCGTGATATAAAATATAAAAACAAACACATTAAAGTTTAAACTTGGAGCGTGAAACTTTAACGACTAGTATTTTTCTTTGTTTAAGCTGGATTTGAAATTATAGGTTTATAGGTAATGGCATACGCTGGCAATGCGGAAAAATAATGCATCGAGGCCATCATGGCGAGTGGGCTGAAGGAGACGAACCGAGAGGCGTCATTATATGCAATTAAATTTTAATGGTGACGGGTGAAGCGCGCACGCCGCACAAAGGGCTCGCCTTCGATCGATTGAGAGCTTATATAATTAATGGGATTTTTTATTATCGCGTCATCGGCATATAAATAGGCACGTTAATCCCTTTCCGCCATTCTTCGCCATTTCCGTTCGCCTGGGTTTGCTCCTAATTCTATGCATTGCTTCTTATTACATAATAGCGCTGGGTTTTTGTGTTGCTACCGTGTGGGTACGCGAAAAAATAGTATTTTGTTAAAAATAAGCAAATTTTTATATTTATTAAACATAGTGCGGTAGCACTTGGATTTTTAGTTGCTAAATAATTAATTAATTACTAAAATAACAAGCTGCAGTTGAAAATTTGCACGTTGAAGTTTTTAATTAATTAAAAACAAATTAATCAACGTATAATGATAATTTTAACTATGTTGTATCTGGAATAACATTCTGCGTTTAATTATTTTCAGTTTTTTTTAGAAATAATTATGTTTGGTTAAGTTACAGTCAAATAAAATTTTTATCCATTAATTTTGGCAAAAGTTAACTTTAAACGCTTATAATTTTCCTTCTAATAGGCCAATTTAATTCAGTTTAATTTTATTAAATTTATAATTAAATACTGATTAATGAGTTTAAAATTTATAATTATAGAGTGTTTAGTTATAAAGTTATTATTGAATAACTAAAGTGTTAACTTTCAGCACACATTATTATTATTAGTTAATTATTGTAAACTAATCAACATATAATTATGGCTATTCTGTAATTAACGTTAAATTATGCATTTAATTTCGTCAAATGATTTCCAAAATACTTTGGTTTTTAGCCGTTATAACAATTTACTACACAAATTTAACAAATCAAACTTTAATTACTTATAACTTTTTATTTAATTAATCGAATGAAATAATTCATTAACAGATACTTAAAAATTTAATATTAAATAATGGGTATGAATTTCATAAGTATAGCTTTATTCATTTATGAGTTATAAATAAAAACCTAATTCAAAAACGTGCTGTTTCCACGCGGTATAAGTTCGTAATATATAAGATATCTTAAGCGTCTTAATGTGCACGATGGCGGCTAATACCAAACACGAACGCAAGCCAGCCTGCTTTACGTCTTTATTTAACGCCTATCCATCGCATCCCAGTGGGGCGGTGAGCTAAGGGGTGTCTTTGTTGGACGCGAGCGCACGGTAAAAGACTAGCGATAGTGCACGGCGCGTGTATTCGCCGGCACGTCCTTTTTACGTGACCGAGAATAATAATTACATATCCTTGGGAGCAGCGTCTTCCTCCTTTGCAGTACTTTACAGCACAATGCCTTGGCGTCGCTGGCTGGTGGGGTCAAAACGCTCTAATACGCCTTGGTGGCAACGTGCCACAATAAGTAAAGACTCTCCAGCCAAAGAAGGCACCGGCACGAATTATGAATCCTGCCGGTGGACACATGCGGAGCTCTACAGCATGACGGTACATTACGTCCTGGCAGGCGTCGTCGTACAACCTGATTTACGACTATTCCACTTACGTGTATCCCCTACGATTTTCACAAATGCGAATATTTCTCAACTGCATTTCACATTCGTCGCGGTGTGTGAAGAAAAAGAAAAAAAAACATGTTAAAAGTGCTTTTACCTGTGAACGTGGTTGCCAATGTAATAGATGTATATTTGGTTGCATACATTTAGTTGTATAAATTGTGAGGCAATTTAAATATTATCATTAGTTTTGTCATTTCCTATATAACCGCATACCTTTATCATGATGAAGATATACGATGATGAATTACCTTCATAACTTTCAGCTACTTACGAAAAGTGTAGAACTTTCGTACAAAACGTCTGAGAAGTTGAACGTCGAGATGAACGAGTTAAAGATATGAATATGCGATGGCAAAAGTCCGCAGGACGCGATGATGTTGGTGTTGGCGGTTAATTAGGCCCGGAAATTTAATATTCGCCATCAAACGAACGAGCGCTACACAGCGTTGGCGCGCGCTTTTAAATGACTCGCGATACGACGCGAGGAGTGCATTAAGTTCCGAGATGGTCGCGTTTGATACTGCTACACAAACGAGTCCTTTAGTCTTGATAGCACGTGATGCATCCAAATGTGAGAAGAGTTGCAGTAGTATCCTCTGGCATACTATACTCAACACTGTTGGTATGCAACCCAACGTACAAAAACCACACAACCGCGTAAAAAAAAATGGATGGAAATTTTGAAATGAAATGCAAATAAAATGGGGTAAATACTAAATGGCGTCGTGGCGTGGCTAATTAAGTAAGAAAATGAAAATCAAGGAAGACGTTGATGAGAGCGCGAGTTTTCTTGCATTTATTATAAGTGAAAAAATTGAGCTGTCTGAAATCTCTCTCTTCATAAAGTAGCTACAGAATTGCTTTGTTTTTAATTAATTTATTTTTCATTCACAGTGAAGGAAAATTTTAAAAGAAATATATTAAAACTACAACAGGACTATACAACAGAGCATAAATCTTGGAAAGAAAATTCATTAGCTTGCATTTTTCCTGTCTTGTAAACGACCTAACCAAAATCGCCCCATTTTCCAGGATCTACGTCCTGAAAGCCTTCCAGCTATCCATGTTGCAATGAATTACTTTAATCTTCCAACGTTTTGCATCTGCTTTGTTGCTGTCCAATTTTCCGCAACCTTTTATATTCCAGTTACATAGAAAACTCAAAAAAAGTTAAATTCAATTCCTACTTCCGATACAAGTAAAAAAAATGTAAAAAATACGCTTCATAATGTAATATTGCACAAGAAGTCTTGGTAAACATTGTGCCTCGTCAAAAAATGTAAAAAATTAATTATTATCTTCATTTTAGGTTAGTAGCAGTAAAATATTGCTCTCTACTGCTGTCAGAATCACCTATCACACGCTGTCAAATCAGTAAACAACATAACCATATTTGAAAACGTTTTGTTTTCATTTTATCTTTGTTCTTGTTTTTCAGATGTTTTAATAGCTTTTTGAGTATTTTGAGAGATGTATAGAAGGTCATAAAACTGCCTCTTTGTTCTATTAGATTTAGGTATTATTATTATAATGGAAATTGTGAGTTAATTAGTATCAAGTTAATGAAGTTTACCACAAATTACGCAAACGTTTCAAGTTTCTCTATTATACTCATCAACATTATCGATAAGTGATAACGTGTACATCACCCCCATACACATCAAACGCATATTTAATGGCGTCACTTTGCCTACAAATTTCAATAATTAATTAATTTATAGTGGAAACAAGCGAACTTGATAGCTATCTGCCTAATCATAATGTACAGCAATATAATCAACAAAATAATTTAATATCGATGTCAAGTAGAAGTTAATCATAAGAATTAAAACTGCGGTTTCGGATGTAACTGAAGATTTATGCTGTAATTGGCTTTATTGGAGCTTCGACGCGATAATGCGATTTGTCCTTGATTGCCTCGCTCGCAACTTAATGCAATCCTGCGTGCGGTGCGTGCGGTTTTCGCTCCGAAAGCGAAATGGATCGTGGTTTCATGATTGTGTCGTGCTTACTCTTCAATACGTAATTAATTCTGCGTTAATTGGGAAATCAGATTGAAATTATTTGCACGTGCACGAGAATATTATCGGTAATGAGGAGATATTCTAATTTAACATGAAATTATCAAGTTACTGAAGTTGCATATATTGATGAAGTAAAAAGAACTGCGCAGAAACCTGCAAACAAAATTGCATTTCTGAGTGGTTGTAAAAGCAACGGTTGTAAAGTGTATTCAAGTGAGTTCAAAGTGCGTTTAATTTAAATTAAAGTATTGATTATCACTATGAGATATTCGAAATGCATTAGTTAATATGTTAGTGTTCTTTAAGTAGAAGAATATTTGACGAGCCGTGATAGTGAACAAGAATTTAACGTTTGAGCACAAGTTAACCTCAAAAATCTGCGGCTGGTTATCCCGCTAAATTAAGTGCTGCTTCCCAACTGGTTTTGAAGATTTCGAAGATAATAAAGCTGAAGAAGACGGACTGAAGGTTTGTAGAGTTTAAAACAATTTTGTTTTTACTTTTTGTGATCGTAAATTGTTTGTAATTCATGATTTTGTTTTAGATCCGCAGTAAAATTCAGCGCAGAACTAAATTCAAGGTAAAATGCATACATATTTCATAACAATTAACTGATAATTGTATTTATGTGACATATCACTAAGGAAACATTCTTTTTAATTGGGTTTTAAACAAAAATTAATCCAATATCCATAAACAAATCAGTTCTTTGCTTATTTTTAAAGAATTAATACATAATTCAATGCAGCAAGCAAGAAATTCGTAAAAATATGAGTTTCAAACATAAAACTTTCCTTTTTACTTCTTTAACTTGAATAATATATCAACTCCAATAAGCCATAGATTGAAATACTTAAGAAAATAACTTTTGCTATTCTTAACACGAATATATTAACAATTTAATCAAATTTAGAATGTGTGGCAATATAATTGTGGCAACCATACATTTGGCAGATAAAATGAAGTTAGTTGTTACACTTGTTACACTTATAACATAATTAAATTCAATATTCTTATTGAAAACGTACGTTGATGTCTTAAAACGCTCGTTGTGCATAAGCACCAACCTCAAGCAAAAGTAAAGTGTAATAACGTCGTTGCTTTCGTTAGCATTATTCCACACCAGGCACGCCGACGCATGATTTAGTTATCAACGTAAACGAATGTACGCGTGCGAGCAAATATGAGCGTCTGTGATACGTGCGAACGCCGAAGAAGCGCCATCGTTGTCATCGCGCGCCACTTCTACGGCATCACTAATAGAACGACGCTTCCTGCTCTAACGAAATTTAATTACATTCGAAATTAAATTGCCCTCCACCGCAGCACTTGAGTGTGCGCGCATGAATACGAATATAGATATTAAAATGCGTTCGAATTGCGTGCCAAATTTAAACATTTATTTTCATCATTTGTTACTTGTCAACATTTAAACTGTATGTGTCTGGGGGGAGAGTGTGCTGAATGAGGGGTAGAAACAAAGCATACATATGATAATTTTCATCGCTTGATATTCGTAACGACCAGCGCTCGTCGTAATCTTAATTCGGCAGTAAAAGACGTCGCGTCGTATCTACATGTGCACGGCACGCTTGCAACTATAATGGCGATGGTGGGCGAAGGCCTCCCCTTCGGCGAATTACGCCGACAACGCCCGTTAAGCCATCCCCCTTCGGTCTTTATCTTCACGTTCGTTTTTTTTTTGATAAACATTCAAACATAAAGTAAACCATTGCGCAACAACGACACTAGACGCTTATAAGACGCCTTTTTATTCTATTTTTTTCGTGCACGTACAAAATGGTTAAAAACCTTAATTGCAAATCGTAAAAAAAGCGATGCGAAGCGATTGAAGCAAACGCGATGAATAATATTACCGACGAGAAAAACTCGTTTGCACCCGCACTCCGGGAAAACACAATCGGGTTAGACGCGATGTAATATTGGTTTGGAGCATCGAAATTGGAATGAAAACGAGAGAAGGACCAGAGCGGAAAGAGAAAACCAGGAGGCACTGAACGACTGAGGAAAACGCTTCAATTATTCAGGCGTCGTATAATTAAAGCCATTAAAATTGCGCCCCTCCGTGCGATGTATTTTCTAACCGACCGCAGCTTGCTGTAGGTACACATTTAATAACGGGTCGATATTTACGCAAAAATTCCGCTCCTTAACTTTTAATGAAATAGTTCTCGAAATTATTTCATGCAAACTTTTCTCATATTAACTTGTATTGTTTTAATTATGTGCACAACTAATGGCGCTGTGCACGAGTGGGTACGGTGGAAATGTTTTGTTAAATGTTTTCCCCAACACGGCGCGCTAATTAGTGTGTTTTTTGTTTGTTATTCTTTGATGTTGCACTGAATAGTGCACATCTTTTGTGCGCAGTCATAAGAACCGGGAAGCAGCAGAAACAAAACGTGCAGTGTGCAAAGTTGAATCGAACGCTTTTTTGCATTTTATGTTTGGGATGTTTCTATTTGCACCTTACCTTTGTGTTTTTTTTTTTATGTTGGTGTATTGTAAACAATACGAACATAAAATGGAAAATTTTAAAGAATGAATTGGTGTTGTGCTTTTTATTTTAAATTGGACTAAAGTCACTGGTTTTTCCATTTTTAATCTCTTTTTTCGTTTATAACTTTCTTTTCTTCACTTGCTTTTGATGTTTTAATAGTTATCCTGTTCCTCTAGACAGTTACAAATCCAACAATTCATAAAAATTGTTTTTTTTTTATTTATAAATATCGAAATATTGCTGAATTTGCTTTATTTTCCAAAAATCTGTATTTGTTATTGGTATGCAACCCAATTTACATCATTTATATTTGCTATAACAAGTTTTTCGTGTGTATTTTCAAATATAGCAATTATAAAATCAGCAAAATGCGGGAGTGTAATCAAAATTCTCGCTGCGTGTTTTTATGGTTGCCTATAATGACGTGTGAGCTAATTACAACTTTTGTCACTTCATACATGGTTGCATAACTGGTGGTTTAAAATAGGTTACGAGTATGTTCCTAAAAGCGCGTTTATCAACTTTTACAAATTCACAACGGTTAGTTACATATCACTGCAATAGCCCATAGTAATTAATAGCAAGCGCTGTAAACTGTTAACTCGTGTAAACGATTTTCGCTACTCTAAAACTACATATACAATGTCCTTCTATCGCCTCTATTTTGTCAACAAGGTAATAAAATTTAAAATTTACTCAAAAATTGACAGAGACAAATCTTTTTAGCAAAATATAATTTCCACTTTATCGATTGTAAAATTAGGTTAACTTAAACGAGTATTTTTCGCAATATTTCGCATCATCCTGTTTTCCACCCTGCATCTCGTCTAGGATGTGCCGGCGCGTTGTTCATCGAGTGTAGCACTTTGGACGATAACGAGTTTACAGTCAATTAATATCGGACGCCGGCGTAATTTACTCTTAATGGTCCGTGGGAGATCCATCACACGCTGGTGTGGCGCACACGAGGAAAGTGGATGCGTGTTATGCATATAAAACGCGTTTCCTCCACCACCCCTCACACTCCAACCACTTATTCTCACCCTGCCTTACACGAGTGTGTGTGTGTGTTATCTTCTATATTCCATACCAAACCGTCTTCTCGGCAGTTCTTATTACTATCCGTGAGATTTTGTCGCCCAAGTGACTTGAATAACGCGCGGCCGTTATTCAACGGCGGGGGTGAGTCGAACAACGCAGCATGATGGGTTTAATCATGGGATATGCACTAACACAGTGATTACGCCGCTACTATTAATAATAAACTGTAAATCACTATCATAATACTCGAGAATAATTAAAACCCAGCGGGAATAATTAATTTTCACATAAATTTCGCGCCCAAAAGTGACAAAAACAATATCTGTATGTATTGTGAGGTTTTGGTTGTATACTACAATAGTAGTATTTTTGTAAGGAATGTTTGACACTCCTTGTATGCGTGAACATGCCATTATCTGCGTTGTACGAACCGGGTCGCGAGGTTCGGTTGAATTTTGAGTATGTAGTTATAATTAATGATGATGAAGGGTATTCCCGCACAGCGTTGGTTCGGTTACGGCTCGTTTGTTTCGCTAGCCGGCAAGTGCCGATAGTGATATGCTTTTAATCCACCCAAAGATTAAGTTACGTCACGTATAAATTCAAATCAATTTGTGATTATTTCAATTTCACATTGTAGGCAATTCATGTTACATATTGTTGTTAAATGTATACTTAGTTGCCTATCTGTAGGCGTATACTTGATTATGATCAAATTCGAATTTCTATTATATTTGTGAGAGAGTAAACATCTGTCATTGACAACCTTTGGAATCTCTCGAATAGTTCAAAGGAAGTATAAGTATAACTTCGTGAGTACGTGCCCATAATTTCCCAACACGCAACTTTCCGATGATAACTTCGCCCCCCGACGACGTGTTTACCTTCGATAATCTTTGATAACTTTTCCGCGCTCTGCGGGAGGGTTGTTTCGTCAAACTTTGATAGTTTTCCGGGCGTTCATCAGATTTCCGCCCGTCGAATCGCCTGACACCACAGAAATCTTTGTCGTGCGGCATAATTGAATTTCGGACTTTTCCGATGACTCATCATCGAATGTCATTCATTCACTCTTTGCGGAAATGCGGTTGTTATTAATCACAAATCTTAAATTTCAATTTATCCGACACCGGAAATAACTCGCTTTTTTGCGCGCGGTGGTGGGATGAAGGTGAAATGGTCGTAATTTACGCCGCGTAATCTCTTTCTCTCTACCTGTTCCTATATCATATATTACTGCGGACTATGCGATCTTCCCGGTGTACTTTCTTGGCATGCGAATGTTAGTTATGTGCAGTTGCTTGATCTGTTCTCCCTTGCGCGCCCTTTGTGAACCTTAGTGTTCTGGTACCCTTCTCGAGCTCGCACTAATAATGTCTGACATTACACGGCGTCGATTTTCATTGCAATCTACAGGGTATTATATATGTTTAACCTTAAAATATATCGACAATATTAATACGAACATAACCTATATTTTAAAGCAAGAAATATGAAAATTTTATAAAAAATTAAGGTTAAAATTGATTTTTATGTGTTTGGATGATACCCTGTAGAATGATTGTAATGAAAAGACGTTGATCCACCCCTTGGCCAAAATGCACCACCCACAATCTAATATAATATCCTTTCATTAGCACTCGTCCACCAAACCATCCGAATTTACCCCGATTATGCGAATATATGGCGGGTTTGAGACGTACATTCCACCACTCGCACTCACACACATGTTGGGTGTCTATTTTCATCAGCTTCCGACAATACCCTTGGAATACACACTTCCACCTTTACAATTTGAGCTCATACATTGTGAGCAATTCCGTTGCTTAAGGGAATTCCATTTCGATTTTCGTCCATCAGCCTTAGCCTTAGCAACCAGCAGAACTTCATGTGTTATGTTACTACATTTCAAAATAATTAAAATGAAATGAAAATTTCATTCTATTGATTCCCCAGCCGTCCCTGAAGAATAAATTCGTGTTTTTGCTTTCAGCGGAAGTGTTTTTAATCATCTGATA